CGTGTTCTAAAGTGTGTATCCTACCTTTAGTAAAGTGTGTATCCTGCCCATAGTAAAGTGTGTATCCTACCTGTTGTAAAGTGTGTATCCTACCTATAGCAAAGTGTGTATCCTACCTTTAGTAAAGTGTGTATCCTGCCTGTAGTAAAGTGTGTATCCTACCTGTTGTAAAGTGTGTATCCTACCTATAGTAAAGTGTGTATCCTACCTTTAGTAAAGTGTGTATCCTGCCCAAAGTAAAGTGTGTATCCTACCTGTTGTAAAGTGTGTATCCTACCTATAGTAAAGTGTGTATCCTACCTTTAGTAAAGTGTGTATCCTGCCCATATTAAAGTGTGTATCCTACCTATAGTAAAGTGTGTATCCTACCTTTAGTAAAGTGTGTATCCTGCCCATAGTAAAGTGTGTATCCTACCTGTTGTAAAGTGTGTATCCTACCTATAGTAAAGTGTGTATCCTACCTGTTGTGAAGTGTGTATCCTACCTATAGTAAAGTGTGTATCCTGCCCATATTAAAGTGTGTATCCTACCTGTTGTAAAGTGTGTATCCTACCTATAGTAAAGTGTGTATCCTACCTTTAGTAAAGTGTGTATCCTGCCCATAGTAAAGTGTGTATCCTACCTGTTGTAAAGTGTGTATCCTACCTATAGTAAAGTGTGTATCCTACCTTTAGTAAAGTGTGTATCCTGCCCATATTAAAGTGTGTATCCTACCTGTTGTAAAGTGTGCATCCTACCTATAGTAAAGTGTGTATCCTACCTTTAGTAAAGTGTGTATCCTGCCCATAGTAAAGTGTGTATCCTACCTGTTGTAAAGTGTGTATCCTACCTATAGTAAAGTGTGTATCCTACCTGTAGTAAAGTGTGTATCCTGCCTGTAGTAAAGTGTGTATCCTACCTGTTGTAAAGTGTGTATCCTACCTATAGTAAAGTGTGTATCCTATCTATTATAAGGTGTGTATCCTACCTTTAGTAAAGTGTGTATCCTGTCTGTAGTAAAGTGTGTATCCTGCCTGTAGTAAAGTGTGTATCCTGCCTGTAGTAAAGTGTGTATCCTACCTTTAGTAAAGTGTGTATCCTGCCTGTAGTAAAGTGTGTATCCTACCTGTAGTAAAGTGTGTATCCTACCCGTAATAAAGTGTGTATCCTACCTGTAGTAAAGTGTGTATCCTGCCTGTAGTAAAGTGTGTATCGTACCTGTAGTAAAGTGTGTATCCTACCTGTAGTACAGTGTGTATCCTACCTGTAGTAAACTGTGTATACTACATACATGTAGATGCATGTACATACATACATATACATTTACATACATGTACGTACATGTACGTAAATGTATATGTATGTACATGTACGTAAATGTATGTATATGTACGTACATGCGTCTACATGTATGTACATGTATGCATATGTGCGTACATTAGGGGTTGTACGAAATAGTCGACTAGTCGACTTCACGGCTCTGTGGTGACTTTTTATGCCTGTCATCCACTAGTCGCTGTCACGTGATAATGACTGACAAGATGCAGTCCTCGGAAAAGACAGCAGGTGACGAGTTCCTGCGCGTCTGGATCGAGGCGGAGGCGACACGCTATACGGTACTGACACCGGCGGTAAAACGGACATTTAACCAAACTGTGAACTTTTCGCTCTTGCAATTTAACCTTCCCCTCACCCCCATCCTAATCTTAACCAGTTTGTGCATGCAAAGCTCTGATCACTGATGTGCGCTCCAGACATTGCGTCCTGAGCACCGCCAAATCAGGTGTCACCACCTCAAAAACAAATTAAACACGCGATCGTTCATGTCGGCTCATTTCCTTTCATGTTTTCTGTCTGTTATTTGTGCCTGATGCATTTCGCTGCTGTGGAGCGAGGCACATCAGCCCCCAAGATTCCACTATCTCCGCTCCGCTCCGCTCCGGCACGATCTCCGCAGCAAAAACGGTCCCGTTGTAGTCGGCCGGCGAGCAGCGGCACTCCGCTGTTTTTGCGGTCGGTAGATCTTTCAGAACTGCAGTTCAAAGGTAACTCATGAGGTGAATATATATGAACCAAGGTAGCAGTTTCTCTTTAGGATTGAGAGGAGATGCAGGAAGATAATAAACAGGCAGGACAGAAAAATAGTCAAATAAAAACAAGTTAGTTTTTGTACCTGCTGGTTGCAACAAACAGACACCATTTGAAGGTAATCAGAAGTGAGGAACAGAAAATGAAATAATTATTTTAATGTTTAGAGCAGCAGGAACTCCGAGAGGCTGCAGGCGCATCAGTGAGTTTGCGGCTGCTGCGCAGGGGGAGGGGGGAGAGGGCTGAAGCAGAAACTACCGTTGTTAAAAGAAATGTGTTTAACTTAGAAAATGTGGGCGCAATTTTAATTGTCAAAAACTCCAGCGAACCTACCGACCGACCCCCCCGCCGCTTCCGGCGTATGACGTCATCAACGACTAGTCGAAGTCGACTCGACTTTCATTACTTGACTGTCGACTTTAAAAAAAATAAAGTCGTGCAGGCCCTAGCGTACATGTATATGTACATACATGCATCTACATGTATGCACATGTATGTATATGTACGTACATGTATGTATATGTACATATACGTACATGTACGTACATATACATACATGTGCAAACATGTATATGTACATACATGCATCTACATGTATGCACATGTATGTATATGTACGTACATGTATGTATATGTACATATACATACATGTACGTACATATACATGTATGCACATGTATGTATATGTACATATACATACATGTACATACATATACATACATGTATGCACATGTATGTATATGTATGTACATGTATGTATATGTACATATACATACATGTACGTACATGTACATGTATGTACATGTATGTACATGTATGTACATATACATATACAGGTGCTGGCCAGTAAATTAGAATATCATCAAAAGGTTGAAAATATTTCAGTAATTCCATTCAAAACGTGAAACATGTACATTATATTCATGCAATGCACACAGACCAATGTATTTCCAATGTTCATTACAGTTAAATTTGATATTCATAAGTGACAACTAATGAAAACTCCAAATTTGGTATCTCAAAAAATTAGAATATTCTGAAAAGGCTGAATATAGAAGACACCTGCTGCCACTCTAATCAGCTGATTTACTCAAAACACCTGCAAAGGCCTTTAAAAGGTCCCTCAGTCTTGTTTTGAAGGCACCACAATCATGGGGAAGACTTCTGACTTAACAGCTGTCCAAAAGACAATCATTGACACCTTGCACAAGGAGGGCAAGACACAAAAGGTGATTGCTAAAGAAGCTGGCTGTTCGCAGAGCTCTGTGTCCAAGCACATTAACAGACAGGCGAAGGGACGGAAAAAATGTGGTAGAAAAAAGTGTACAAGCTCTAGGGATAACCGCACCCTGCAGAGAATTGTGACGACAAACCCATTCAAAAATGTGGGGGAGATCCACAAAGAGTGGACTGCAGCTGGAGTCAGCGCTTCAAGAACCACCACGAGGAGACTCATGAAAGACATGGGATTCAGGTGTCGCATTCCGTGTGTCAAGCCACTCTTGAACAAGAAACAGCGCAAGAAGCGTCTCGCCTGGGCCAAGGACAAAAAGGACTGGACTGATGCTGAGTGGTCCAAAGTTATGTTTTCTGATGAAAGCAAGTTCTGCATTTCCTTTGGAAATCAAGGACCCAGAGTCTGGAGGAAGAGCGGAGAAGCACAGAATCCACGTTGCATGAGGTCCAGTGTAAAGTTTCCACCGTCAGTGATGGTGTGGGGTGCCATGTCATCTGCCGGTGTTGGCCCACTCTGTTTCCTGAGGTCCAGGGTCAATGCAGCCGTCTACCAGGAAGTTTTAGAGCACTTCATGCTTCCTGCTGCTGACCAACTTTATGGGGATGCAGACTTCACCTTTCAACAGGACTTGGCACCTGCACACAGTGCCAAAACCACCAGCACCTGGTTCAAGGACCATGGTATCCCTGTCCTTGATTGGCCAGCAAACTCGCCTGACCTTAACCCCATAGAAAATCTATGGGGTATTGTGAAGCGGAGGATGCAATACGCTAGACCCAACAATGCAGAGGAGCTGAAGACGACTATCAGAGCAACCTGGGCTCTCATAACACCTGAGCAGTGCCACAGACTGATCGAGTCCATGCCACGCCGCATTACTGCAGTTATTGAGGCAAAAGGAGCCCCGACTAAGTATTGAGTGCTATACATGCACATTCTTTTCATGTTCATTCTTTTCAGTTGGCCAACATTAGAGAAACAAACATTTTTTCATTGGCCTTTAGAATATTCTAATTTTCTGAGATACCAGATTTGATGTTTTCATTGGTTGTCACCTATAAATATCAAATTTAAATGTAATGAACATTGGAAATACATTGGTCTGTGTGCATTGCATGAATATAATGTACAAGTTTCACGTTTTGAATGGAATTACTGAAATATTTTCAACCTTTTGATGATATTCTAATTTACTGGCCAGCACCTGTACATACATGTACATGTATGTACATGTATGTACATATACATACATGTACATACATATACATACATACATTTTTGACTTGTTGAGATCATTGCAGTCTACTTCCCGACAGTCCAGACACATCCCCGTTCACACTTAATTTGCTTATGTAGCTACACACATCCTGCTAGTCAGGTAGCCTTGACTCCTAACCAGGAAGTGAGTTGTCTGCCAAGGTGGGTGGGGTTGGGGGGTAGCTCTTGTATTTGTTTGTCAACATGTGTGTGTGTGTGTGTGTGTGTGTGTGTGTGTGTGTGTGTGTGTGTGTGTGTGTGTGTGTGTGTGTGCAGGACTATACAGTAGCTGTATGTATTCTTTGGTGCTGGGCTCATTTCTGTGGCCTTCACAGAATGAGACCTGAACGCTTTTTATGCCTTCAGAAATAAATAATACAAAAGCCAGATTGTTCCATCTCTTATTGTGTTTCATCGGTTCGGTTAGTTAGTTACCAACCTGTTCTTGTTGCTGGAGATCCAGTCAGAGATGTAGGCAACAGCCTGACGGTGGCACTGCTTGTTCCCGAAGCTACACGCTAACATGATGAGCTCTCGCTGTAATTCTCTGCACAACACAGATGAGAGAACAAGTTTACCTCCAACAAAGGAACACGTGTTTTTAGTTAGTTTCTAACTGTGAGATTTGGTCCAGAAACTGGATTTCATTTGTTTCTGAACTATGTTTATCTGGCTGGAGGACTAGGCTTGTGCGGTACTACGGTATCAGCTGGTGTTAAGAAACAGGTGTCGATTATAATATGACAAAATGTAGGAGACGAGGATTTAAAAATCAAGGCAAAAGGTCATAAAAAAGACAAAAGAAATTAAATGTAAAAAAAAACCTGGTTGAATTTTCTGTTTAAATTTTTTCTCCAACTTTTGGAGACTTTCCATAAAATCTATGAACGTGATGTTGTCGCCATGTGACACAGAGCGGAGGACGGCGCGCCAAGAGAAAAATGGCAGCTTGCGTACCAGCTGACTTAGTGTCTAAACACAACACAACTTCTGCAGTTTGGGAGTATTTCAGGTTCAAAGCAAACTTTACAGGAGAGCCGGTGTCGGTACAGGATCTGCTCGGGTGCTAGATCGGCTCGGGGTCCTTCGACTGCCGATGACGTCAAAGTAGTTGATTGGCTGAACATGAACCTTACGGAAGTTACGTTGTTATCACGTTACGTTGGTCCAGGCTAATCTTTCTGCTGGAAAGATGGACAACTTTTACAAAGAAATCCATCATTACCTCTTTGAAAATACACTTTTAGCATAGAGCTGCATGTATATTAGGGCTGAACGATTAACTGCATGTGCAATTAAATTGCGATGTGACAAAAGGAGATTTTCTAATCGCAAAGGCTGCATTTTGGCAGCGAGTGGTTAGCTCAATGCTAATATACACGGAAAACCCATAGGAATGCTAATGCTAATATCACTGACTACATTCTTACAAATTATGAATAAGAAACGTGCCAAATGATTACATTTGGAGTCTAATAGAAAGTAAAACTACCATCAATCAAATAAGTACAGACAGGAATTTTAGTAAAGCCAGAAAACTTTTAACTCCAGAGTTTTGGCTAGCAGCTATGAGCGTAACTGAACTACTCATGGACAAGACGTCAAAAACTCTAAACACAAAATACTTCAATAAACGGGACACACTTCTTTCCTGCAAATACTATTTCACAGGTGTTGCTAATACCTATGATCCTTCAAGGGATGTGCTCAAAGAGGAGTTCAACATTATGAATACAATATAGTGTTTTATTTTACAAATACCATTATAAACACAAACTTACGTCATAAGAAACATTATTTTAATAACGAAACTGCTCAATTCTTTCCATCAGTATAGATGTGTAGTGTATTTTGTCCGAGTGGGTTTGGCGTACTTTGAAGTCATCGGCAGTCGAAGGACCCCGAGCCGATCTTGCACCCGAGCAGATCTTGTACCGACACCGGTAAACACTGATGGGGCCATTTGTGCAAACAAAAGTTGAAAGATGCGCGCTCAGTCAGAACCCCAGAGGAGCGACCCGTGGCTCAAATAGCAGCGTTCTGTCTGGACACTGAGATTAAAAGACAACAACGTGCTTTTCTGGTGAAAAATAAACCGCCAGCCTTCTTCAGATGTCGCGACTAGCACCGAAGAACCCGTGTGTCGGTGCCACAAGCTCATCGAGGCGGGTTTTCAGCAGCAAATAAGGTAAACATGCTGGTTTTTCAGGCAAAACATCTTTTTCTAAGCTGCGTTTTGAAAAAGTTCTTAATATTATGTGTTACGTTGTTATTGTTTTAGTTAGGGTTACTTATGTCCAAACTAACGTCATCATTTCTAAATTAGTCCCGGTAATCCCGTAGACCGTGGTGAAGGGTGGAGGAAGCTAGACAGCAGTACAGGCCTACGGAGGACAGAATGATAATCATCTCTGTAGATGTAAACTGAACCACCTTCACCTAAGCTCTATCATGAGCGGAGCCTGCCTCCATGCTTGGGGGCCGAGGACGATCTCTAGTGAATCTGAGTCAGCATCCAGAGTCAGTCACAGATCAACAGTGACAGACGATAATCTGAACATCTGTCAAACGTTTCTCAGTCTGTCCACATCAGATCTCTTCAGCAGCCTGACAGAAACTAAAATTATTGGCTGGTAAACACTGAGTCAGCTGTTTACATGTCAGATTATTATTGGTGAACACACCAGCAGCAGAGTGTTACTCACTCAGTCTGGTAGGACGTCGGCAGGACGGAGCCCTCCGATCCAGGGCCGTTGGTGGGCCAGCCCATCTGATGGTATCGAGAGGCGACCTGCTTCAGCACGTAATCCTGTTAACACACACACACACACACACACACACACACACACACACACACACACACACACACACACACACACACACACACACACACTGCTAAAGAGACGGTTCATTCCGCTAACGTGGAGCCGTTATTGATTGATGGAGATGGTGATGGATTGCTCATTTACACTGAACAGCCTGTAGTCGTCTGTGCGGTCCAGCAGTTTGTCCAGCTGGTAGAGGGCTCGGCTGGCAGCGTGCCACGGCAGAAAGGATGTCTCTTCCGGCAGATAGCCAATCAGCTGCAAGGGAACGCCCTGTGGGAGGTACCCAGCCCTGAGGAAACCGAATCAGAGTCTGAGAACAGCACACCCTTACCATCAGTAGGAAATGATCAAACATGACCATCTGTTCATTAAAAGCTCGTATCGTGGTAAAAAAAAATCATTTTGGGGTCAAATCACTTTAGATTAGCTGGTACTAATGGAAACAAGACCAGTTCCAGCTCTACGTGTTAATGATGGAGCTGCACTGGGGGTGGTCACAGCTCTGTCCCTCAGAATACGTTAAAGGAAGTCGCCGTCTTACAGGCAGGTAGAAAGCAGACGGCAACAAAGCAAGAGTTAAAAACTGCTCCAACTATATCAACACTAACTACAGGATACTCTTGTTTTCTAGAGATTAAAAGTGTAAGGCACGCCTCGTTTTCAGCTGCAACCTTCAGGAAAACACTTGTCTCATTTAGCTGCTATTAGCATGAAAAGTGTAAACAAGGCTCCAAAACATCCAGTAATTACTCAATAAAATCCATCCAGAGTTTTATGAACTGACACACACACACACACACACACACAGACACACATACACACACACACAGACACACATACACACACACACCGCTACGTGGACGACCTACTGGACATCATAGCAAAAGGACAAACGGAGACACTAACAGAACAATATCGACGACATAAACAACATAAAATTTACAGGAAGCAGCAGAACCTCCATGGACAAGAAGATGGGACCCTGAACAGAAACACGCACAGGAAACCAACACACACACCAATCCTTACCGTAGCCATCAGAACACCCTACCATACACACACTGTCAGTGATCAGAGCGTTACGCCATTGAGCAGACATAACAGAAGAACCAGACCGTAAACAAGAGGACCAACGTATACAAAACACTTTAAAGACCTGCGGATACCCGAAATGGGCAATAAACAAAGGAAAACAACAACAGAAAGAAAAGAACAACCAAAACCAAGAACCAGAAATCCAGAAAGACACGAACCAAAACCAGTGATAACTCTTCCACACATCGATGAAAAATAAAACAAAACCACACAACAGTTAGAAACGGACCAGCACACCCAAAGGACAAGATGTCAACAGGACAGAAGAGTGGAGTCATTTAGAAATCCCAAACAAACTCACGTACAGTAGGAGGAGCCGGGCGCCAACTCAACACAAGAACAACAAATCGCAGAAAGGAGTGTGAGAAAGAAACGAGCCGAAGACACACAAGAGCAGAAAGTACAATAACCCTAACCCTGACCGCTGCACAAGAGAAAACCACATAACGGACCGGGACAGAACACGGATCAGAACCACCGAACAGAAATATAAAAGATGCATTAAGGAAGCCGTAGAAATACGGAGACGTGGACCCAGGACCATGGACAGAGACAAAGGAGTACCACTCATGGGACATGGTGATCAATGGAGAAGGTGCGGGCAGCAGAGGAAAATGTCGCCCTCTGCTGTCCGCAGATGAACGGAACCGATGCCACAAACATCGGCGATAGCTCTGACAGGCGCGGCAGTGGACGCCAAAACATGTCAGCAAAGATAAAAACAAGCTCCTCCTACTCTGTTAGACAACGAACCGCAACAAAACCCCAACAGCTGCTGCTGTTTTTCCCTGAGGTTAGCCGTGCTGGCTAGCTAAAACGGTGTTGTTTTTATTAATAATGACAATCAGGAAATGTCAGGAAACTAAACAGCAGCTAAAAGTTTCAGACGTCTTACAAAATGTTCATGACACCATTTATAAACTGTGTTTGACTGAGCGGTGCGTTCAGGGTCAGGTCCTGAGGTGGACCTGCTCTTTACCACTCAGGAGAAACCTTCAGCCTGTCTGACTGAATAAGCTGAAGCAGAAGCACGTTCAGGGAAACTAAACGCCACAGCAGTTATTCAGCAGCAAACTTCCATCCATAACCGCATGAATATTAACAAGCTGGTTGTTTTAGCGTTTGCTGCTATTTCCGTTCCTTCAGATGGGAGGTGCTCTCCTGCTTCCAGCACCGACCTTCAGTCACGCCCAGAGCTCATGAATAATAATGAGGTTGTTGGTCGAGGAGAGAAAGTTAGCAGGGTTAGATCCTGGAAGTCTAATTCCAGGAGGGGGAGGGGTGGTGGGGGGGCAAGAGGTAAAAGTGTTGCGCTCTGTTTAACACTGACCTTCATCCCAGAGGTGTCTGTCAAACTGACCAACACACACACACACACACACACACACACACACACACACACACACACACACACACACACACACACACACGTTTTGTTATATATCTATTCTCGGGGACACACACACACCTCCTCCACAGAAAGTTAATCTGGTTCATATCAGACTCTCTGAGCAGAAGAGAGAACCCTCAATTCCAAACTGACGCATTTCCATAATCTGCCTCACATCCGACCAGCGGACAATCGTTTCCCTACCCATCATGCACCTGGGCGCTGAGACATTACCATAATCCATACAGCCTGCAGAGACTTCCTGTTCACAATCATCCAAAACAGTAACAGGACTTTACACCAGTGCATGAGGAGAGGTGGCAGTAACCATGGCAACAACAATGGCCATTTATCTGCTCTCCTCCCTGCACTCGTCCCTCAGCGTTTTTCATTTTATCGAACATCATCCATCATCTATCGCTCCCTCTTAGCATTCAGAATAACGAGCGTCACACCTCCACTGTAGCGTCTGCATCAGATTTAACGACCACGGCTTGAATGATGATGATTCACTCCTCAAAAAATACAGGAAGTGCTTGTAAAAGAACTTCACACAAACTCTCAGACACACAGCCACGACTCAGACTAAGAACAGCGAGGGCTGTGAACTTCACGGCTTAGGCTCGGAGCAGACCCGATGACATTTTACTTCACTGAAGAAATCACAACAACCCTGAAGACTAGGAGTGTGCCGGTACATGGGTACCTGTGTTCGGACAGAGGCTAACGAGTTCCCACACAGACGTGGAACTGCGTCATACACATGCAGCTGGTAAATGTCCTGTATTTGATGTAGCGCCTTCCAGTCAAGGAACCCCCCAAGGCTCTTTACAACACAATCAGTCATTCACACATTAACACACACATTCACACACTGATGGTGATGAGCTACGATGTAGCCACAGCTGCCCTGGGGCGCACTGACAGAGGCGAGGCTGCCGAGCACTGGCGCCGCCGGTCCCTCTGACCACCAGCAGCAGGCAACGTGGGTTAAGTGTCTTGCCCAAGGACACAACAACAGCGACAGACTGAGCAGGGCTCGAACCTGCAACCATCCGATAACGAGGTGAGCACTTAACTCCTGTGCCACCGTCGCCCACCGACCACGTAGGCTGGTGTCGGTACCGGACACCGGGTTCTTCGTCAACCAGGAAGACTGGAAGTGAACAGCTGTGAAACTGGACATTGTAGCCTTCAGATGTATTCTGCATTGTGTGTGTGTGTGTGTGTGTGTGTGTGTGTGTGTGTGTGTGTGTGTGTGTGTGTTTCCTTTAAATGGGCTGCATGGTGGTGCAGTGGTTAGCACTGTTGCCTCGCAGCACGAAGGCTGCAGGTTTGAAACTCGGCTGCGGCCTTTCTGGGTGGAGTTGCGTGTTCTCCCCATGCATGCGTGGGTTTCTTCCGGGTACTCCGGTTTCCCCACAGATCACAACATGCCCTATAGGTTATAAACTGTAAGCCGCTTTGGATAAAAGCGTCTGCTAAATGAATAAACATAAAAATGAACATAAAATGGACCCTAGGCCTTTAATTGTCCCAAAACAATCCTTATCTGAATCTGGTGCCCTTGGAGCCTGCGAGGCCGAAGTAAAACTCCCCCCTCAGAAGAAATGTGGAATGCTGCAGTCGCTATGGAAACTCTTTCTCCCTATCCCAGCCTGGGCGGGACTGTGACCGGTGAAGGCCGTGGAACCGTATCTAGGAGTCACTGTGCTCTCTAACCCATTATCTCCCTCCCCTGTCCAAACAGAGGTGATGAGCGCTGCTCCATGCGGCTGCACGCACTGAAGTGAGGAGAGTCCCAACCCTGCCTCCACACCTAGTGGACACTTATGTTGTGTAATGTCTGAAGTCTGTGTGCATATCTGTCTGAGGTGGTTTTTTGCATAGCAAAGCTACCCTCTCTGGTGAGGGTAACTCTGAAGAGCCCCCCCCCCCCCCCCCCCCCCGACTCTATCCTCATATAAACCCTCTTGATCTATTAAGGTAGCGCGACTCGAGTTGCGAATGACCACAGTCACCAATTCTTGTCATGTGTCTATGTATGTGTGTCTGATCTCAGAACTGTGTGTACTGAAACTCTAATTTCCCTCTGGGATTAATAAAGTACTTTTGAATTGAATTTGAATGTTGAATTAAGGGAGTGCTGCTTCCTCTGTTCTAACTGGAGACTGTAAATGTTGTTGAGAAGCCAGCAGCTCTTTGGGTGTGTTTGATTCAGGGACACAAAGGACAGTGGAGCCATTAGACGGAGGAGTTTCAGGTTTTGCTCCCAGTGGTCGTCTCCGTGTGGGTCTGTCTCCCAGCGTTGTCGAGTTAATGAGCTCGTTAACGCTTTAACATCGTTAAGGGCCAGTTAATTGTTTGTCCATTAGCTATTAGCAAAGCTCAGTAGAGAAGAAACAAGGGAAGCTGTTATAGCACACACACACACACTGTTTAAGCACAGAGTCAAAGAGACAGAGCAATTTATTACTGTGAGACCAGCCACACACACACACACACACACACACACACACACACCCACGCACAAACACAAACACACACACACACACACACACACACAGACCGACTTAAAAACACACACACACACAAACATGCACTTAAACACACACATAGACCGACTTAAAAACACACACACACACACACACACACACACACACAAACATGCACTTAAACACACACATAGACCGACTTCAAAACACACACACACACACACACACACACACACACACACACACAGAGAGAGAGAGAGAATCAGTGGGACGGACATTAATTCCTGGATGAAACATCTTTCCAGTCGG